AATTAATAATGAAAAGCGAAATACTTTTATAAAATGTTTAATATTGAAAATTTTGAATAAATGATAAAAATTGAAATAATTTTATAAAATGTTGGAAAAATAATACTAACAAAATAACTTCAGAAAAATTGTGAAAAAATAACAAAAAAATTTTAGAAAAGCTGTGGAAAAATATTAAAAATCACGAAAAAACTTTCGAAAAATGTTGGAAAGTTTTGATTGATTGTACCAAATGTGGCTCCTAGCACTTTTATAGTTTGAAAGTTTCAAACAAACTGACAAAAACTGAAGTATTGGCTAAAAATTATCTTCATGTCCCCAAAAAAGAATTTTCGGACAGTGCTTAGTTACGTACAGAGAAGTTTCTTTGCGAAAAGGAAACAAATATTCGGAAGGTTAKCTTAACAAAARTARAAAAAAAAWTCTRCTAAAACTTAGTAATTTCGATTATRGATTTTKAAAATTGRAAATAGTGGGAGTATGAGCCTTGTTTCTTGCTCCAAATGTTTATTGAAATATTTTTTAATTATAAATATACTTTTATTTTCGTTTTACATATTTTTTATGATTTTTATGGGTTGCAGGAGCAATTTTTACACAATGTTGTAAATATTTTATTAAAATTTTTTACCTCCAAATTTTTATAAAACTATTTTTTATATTGAATAATATTTTTATTTTCRAATTCTGTATTCTTTAGCAAGGCTTTTTAACTTAAGTCTATTTACAGAGTGTAAGTGTTTGCTCTTCTGAGGCACCTAGTGAATTTTAATTTTATTTGATACAACTTTTTCGGACAAATACGTTTATTTTCTTATAAAAATTCAAGTAACTATAAATTTTACGATTTTTTCATTAAAATAACAACCGTTTAACCGGGACTTGGCAGGTTGTATTAACCAACACAAACCTCAAAACCTGCTGTTTTTCTTATATTTATATTTCCTCTATTTATATTKTTATTTTTTCTGGTTATAATTATAAATATATTCCACTTCTACAATTCTTTGACACTTAACTTTGAAAACTCAATTTGCTTTTTTTCACACATTCACACAAATAACCTGTGCCCATAAATTCCTTTTGATCCTCACTGCTTTACACACCTAAATATTCTTCTTGCGCTTTGCTGCTTTATGTTTCATTGATTGCTTTAAGCACACATTCGACTGCTAAGTGGCAATTTTTTCGCCTCGTATACATACACAATTCTTTTTTTGCGCTGCGCTTGTGTTTGTTAGTGTAAAAGCTGCACAGGAATGCAAGGAGCTGCTGCCGAAGTGTGTGTTCTTTTTTCGGTACAAAAGGGACTTAATTTTAAAGTATACGCTCGCATTTGTGTGTATGTGTATTACAGCTTGTTTGGATGGGGTGTGGTAGTGCGATTTTAATGCGCTCTCTTTTATTGGACGCTCTTTTTCCTAGCTTTTTTTTACTCTCGGTTGGGTATGTTTGCTTTTCGTGCAGCTAAATCGTTAATTTTATAGGACAAAAATGCTTAAGAAATTATAAATTCTAATGTAAGACGTCGAAGTTTGGAAAATTTTTATGTTTAATTTAGGTTTAAAAGAAATTGTTCTTTGCACTTCAGCTGCACTGGATCTATTTTAGAAAAAGTTGTAAGCTTCCTTGGCAGAAAAYTTACTTAAAGGTGGTAAATTGTATAATTCACCTATGACTTGGTGAAGTTGCGGTCATAGGAGAAATTTAGATCTAAATTTAAATTATTTTTTATAAAATAAATTTC